TCTCTTTGTTTTTCGGGGATTCCAGCCATCGTGGACTTTCTTTTTTTTTAACAAACATGACTCATTCCATTCTACGCAAACGGAAAGTTTTCCGTAACAGCACCCAGCTAGATATTTTAGCAAACAACCAACAACAATATATTCCTCAAAAATCTTTGAAAAATGATTGTTTTGATAAAAAAAATATATATACATACATTAGAACATTGAAAGTGAATTGCATTACATCAATTAATAACTACGCTCCCAAACATAGTTCCCCCGAGGGGCGCTAAGATGGAACATTTTGCATCGCACTTATTTAAAATAATGTCACTACACCAAAATTGTTGAAATTGTGGATTTCGGCTCCATTTTTAATGCAGATAACGAATATGCTTTTACCTCAATACCCCATAACAAATTCAATTGCGTTAATTTGCCTTTTCACGAGTTCAATGTCCAGAAGTTGGAATGCAAAAATGTAAAAAAAAACTTTCCATTGTTCTGCTACCAACCAAACGAACAACGCACAAAATATAAGCAAACAAACTAACAAACTTCTATGTATTACATTTGCTCAATTTCCTTCCGGATGTTGGTTGAATCTGTGTTTCCCACTGAATTGGAACGGGAACTGCCGCAGAAGAGCAAGTCTAATTTCCTAGCCATGTCTTCCCTTCGATCAAACAAAAAAGAGGAAGTTTGTTCACCGACTTGGACTGCCTGCCGGTGGAACGAAGGAATCGGAATGTATTTCTTTTTTCTCCTGGTCGATACGAACTGCTCCCCTCGGAGGAGTCGCATCTCGTAATTGCGGCTGCTGTGGCAAATCAATCAATCGAGCTGCGCCGCAACGAATGCTGCTTCCACGTGGGACAAATCGAGATGCGGTGTGGAATCAGCATTCCGCCACCGACCGTTCCGGCGTTAATTTCAATCAAAGAAAGTACACAGACATGTTTTTTTGTGGCTGTGTCAACTCGCAGCGGTTGATTTAGCATGCGATAATTTTTTGGAAAACTAACATTTTAAGCCCATTACCGAATCGCAAGAAGACGACGACGTGCAGTCAACAGTTCTTTTCTGTGGCTTATGGGCTTCAGGTTACAGAAATCCTTGTAATCGCACCCATTTTTTCGATTCACCTCAATTGCTTCGTCACTATTATCCTTCTCGTTCGCTTGAACCGGCTCCTTCTTTGTTCAATGTAACGTAATCCCATTTCTTTCAACTGAATGGTTGTTGGTGGTTTCCTGATGGCATCCTGCCTGTCTGCCACGGTCACGTCTCCCATCTTGGCCGTTGTCTTGTGTGCATTCAACAGAGTAAATCAAGTAAGCGTTACTTTGAAGGATCTTAACCCGATTCCGATTTGTGCTTCATCTTGAAGAGGCCCTCATTCAAGAAAAAAAGAGGGAAGCTGCTGCTGCTGCTGCTGCTGCTACTGCTGCAATGTTGGGAGTCCGTAACGAATGCCGGCTTAAAGGACAATGAGATGTTGTTGCTGGCTTCATTCCTTGTCGATACGATCTGTTTTCCGTTGGATGGTTGGCTGGCATCAACCGAGGAGACGATCCTGCAGGCGCACTTTGATTTTATCACGTATCGCTTCATTTCATATTCTGGTGTTATTTTTCAGTCATCTGGTGCGATTTGTTTTAGTTAGGGTTGGCAGCTTCAAACTCCATGTTGATCCCATTTGCCATTTGCATTGCTGGTCACCTGCTGCTCGGTGCTCGCAATAAATGATTCCGCATTTTATCTCAACGCTTCTTGTTCGGTTATTTGCTCTGCATATTTCCTCCCCAAAATAAAGAGCTTGCCAAGGGGTCGTCGTATTCTTACCCCTCACAATACCCCATCCAAGTTTGTCCTGGCCCTCCGATACAATTTGAGCTGTAATTTACGATTATTTATGTTTATTGCAGTTTTCCCGGAGCGCTGGGGCGGCCGATCAGCAGCCTCCGGTCATTTCCAAGCGAAGGAAAGTTCCGAAAAAAAAACATCCAGCAAAAATAATAAAACGTAACGCGAAATCAAACAAGGGCCGGGGTCGTTTAATGATTCATTTGTTTTGGCAGGTTTTTTCGCCTTCAAGCTCTTTCCACCCCGGCGGAAAGGTTTCGAAACGGTGACGCTCGGATCTAATTCTTCGGCGCGCTTCCATTGCACTTGTTGCCGATTGGATACGGACCAGGTGCTCCGCCGTTGCCGCTCGCTGATGGCTCAACAGGTTCGCACTCTCTTCCTGCGGTTCCAGCGCACGCGGAAATATAAATCATACACCAAACCAAAGCGTGTGTTTACGGGATCTCGAGAAAGAAGTGTTCTTTCGCTGTTTGCTTTCAGCACTTCCAGCTGTGAGTTTTTAATTGAACGTCCTCGGTTGATTGCCTCCGCCCGAGCGGTGGACCTCGGCAAGAACGCGGCTACGATCGTTCCGTAGGATTGCAGGTGAACTAACGTCAACCAATTGGATCCGGTCGTCACCGGGGGGACGCGTCATGCGTGAAAGTGGAATTCGAGCTTTGTCACGTTCCACCGTTGCTCGCTCCACGGATGACCGACTGGGAGATCCAAAAGTCAACAAACGGTCGTCCCCTTTTCTCACTTTGTAGTTTCCAAATTCTACATGGAACTTTTTTTCTTATTTTTTTTTCATTCATATTCGACTCATGTTAAAAAATTCCACGAAGTCACTGATTTTATATGAACCACTTATATTAATGTCCTCCTTGATTAATTGCCGTGACAGAAAATTTCCTTCAAGCTTTCAATAACTATTAAGCCAGTTGAATACAAATGTAAATGCAATTGATTTATTAAGATATGATTTTATGGAACTTATTAAAGGGTCATTCACAAATTATGCTAATGCGCAAAAGATTCAGCAGCTAAGACACAAAACATAAGCATTGAGATCTAACTGATTACAACTTAATATAAAAATATGAAATGCATGCTACAAAATACGTGCCATCTACAAAGCAGGAATTGCTTTGATGATGGAAGTGTACAGGCAGTACCAATATACATTTTATATCGGTACTACGTGTATCCGGGGTTTGTTGTAAGTGAAAGTAACCTCGGAATGGACGTGAGAGACGAGGCATTCTGAATTGGGTTACCGAATCTCAACAGAGCTATCACCTTTCAACTTCCGGGCTAAACTTAATAATAATAGATTGTATTGAAAACATTTTTCTTCCAGAAAAACACTGCCGGACAGCAAGATTTTTTGGCTTAATTCACTTAATAGGAGGGGCTTAAAATTTGCATAAAAAAGCATAAACATAGGTACCGTCTGGCATGCTTAAGCACTGTCCAGACAACCAGAATGCACGTATAATCAAAGTTGTTTCTGTGATATACAAACATACACAGCAAAAAAATAATTTTGATATCACGTCAAAGTGGATGCACTACAATCATGTCGAAAATATGGTGTAATATTACTTGCTAAAAAGGACAAAATTATCATTAATACAATGCATGAACTGACATTACGCTGCTTTTACTGCATTTGTTTATTTATGTGGTCATAAAAATTACATGAAATTTTCGACATGATTGTAGTGCATCCACTTTGATGTGATATCAAAATTATTTTTTTGCTGTGTATATACAAACAATCAAATCATATAGAATGCAAAAAAAGGGCTGGAGTGGAGGCCATATACGTGTAAATTTTAATTTCTTATAAAACGAGTTGATTTGACATCATATACGATTTAATCTGTCATTACAAATGCAATTTGAAAAGTCTAACGATGTAATCTGATTTAATTTGTGGTACAGTACGACAGTACGATGGAAAAATGATTCATCGCATATTAGACGAAAATTTACATTCTATACGATTTAACTTAAACACAATGCGATGTATGTCATACTTATTAACGTAACGCAATAATAATGTCATACTTATTAACGTAACGTAACGGCTAAATCGTCAAACCTGCATAGATAAGCGCTCTGTTTTCGAATCGGTTTTAATAGTATCGTTTAATACCATTTGGACTGCAACTTCAGTGAATCGGTAAACAATTAGCTCCTGTACCATCCAACATAAAGTACGCATCGAGTTTTGCCAAAATCGAAGTGGTGAGCTGGTTTGAAAATTCACTCCCTGCTTCTATTCTGCCGCCATTGACAGTGATATTTCGTTGCCAGGAGTGTTTGTGTTTTCTTTAGGGAACGATCGGTGGTGTTACTCATTATCTGCTTTGTGCTCATACTGTATCTGTGTTAGTTGCTCTTTGGGTAGTACTAGAATTTGCTGTTTCTGTTTTGCTCCAGTTATTCACACGTTCCACTGTTTACGATTAGATAGGATAGCGAAGGTGTTTATATACGACAGTCTCAAAAGTCGTGTTGTTCAACCTGAGCCAGTCCTGGTCAGAAGGTAAACAGTGCGTGCGGTGCTGATGCGTGAATAGAGTCGCTGTTGTTGTGTATATCGGCGGTCTCAAAAGTTGGTATACATCAGCTCGGCTAGATTCTGGTTCTGGTCGGATGCTTTGGTGGATTCTGAGCGAGACGGTTATTTCGCATTGTATAGGAAACCTAGCTTGCAATTGTACAGTGCAGTTCTAATTTCAGGGTAGATTTCTGAGTTCTGCTATTTCCTGTTTCCAACTGAATTTACATACTTCTCCTGGTAGGGACTTCTCTCTGAAAGTGTGCTGCAGAAACGTAGGGTGAATTTGATGATCATGGATCCATGTAGAATTTGTGGCAATCCAACTGAGCCCACGGATAAGACCGTCCTGTGCAGTGGATCATGCGCAAAATTTTTTCACCCCTGCTGTGTTGGATTAAACACGACGAATCACAAAGCCTGGACGGCGAATGTGGGACTACTGTTGTTTTGTGACATCTGCCGAGTAAATTACAATTCTGTTGTCATGGACCGAGAGACAGTGCTGCTGAAAACTTTAAGGGATCTTCTGGTACGTGTGGATTCCATGGACCTGCGCATCGGACAATATGGAGAAAATTTGAAAGTTCTCAATACTATGTTATCGGCTGTACCATGTAACAGAAGGGAATCCAGTGCATCCAATCGTCTCCAGCAATTACTTTCCGGCTGTTCTGGTGGCGGTCTTGCGGATTTTCATTCGAGTATTGATCGGATAAACCTGGACAGTTCCTTACAATCGCAGTTGGAGAACTCATCAGCTGGTGAGGATGGTCTGGCAGCTCTATCACCTATCGTGGAAAACAATTCTGTGAACCAACTCACAGCCACTCAAAATACTGCAAGTTCCGTTTCGACTGCATCTACCAATACTATTGCAACTGTTACTGCTACTACCGCTGCTGCTGCTGCTGCTGCTGCTACTACCACTACTCCTGCTCCAGCTACCATTGCCGCCACTACTACTGCTGCCACCTCTGCCACGTCTACTGCTACTGCTACTGCCACTGCTGCTGCTAGTACTCCTGCTGCCACTTCAACTGCTGCTACTGCTTCCACTTCAACTGCTGCTACTGCTTGCACCTCCACCGCTCTCTCTTCCTCATCATCTGCTGCAACGGTCACCACTAACCCGGGAGATGATGAACAACGAAACCCACAAACGGAATGTCGTCTGAGAGTTGCAAATAGGAACCAACGTCAACGTGATCAGACTGAAGAAGTGCTGCGGTCTTTCTATGTAACACCATTCGCCATTGATCAAACAGAAGTCGACATCCTGGAATACATCAAAGAGATTTCGAACGCTGAGAATTCTACACTTCGCTGTGCCAAGTTAGTTCCGAGAAACAAAAACATCGATGAGCTAACATTCATCTCCTTCAAGGTGACGGTATCTGATGACCTGGTTGGTATTGTCAGTTATTCCTTCTACTGGCCCGAAGGCGTTAAGGTCCGTGAATTCGAATCAAAAAACGCGAATCGACCAGTGAGCCTTCAGCAGTCCTAACAAATGAGATGATGATCAGTTCCGAGGTAAGGCCCGATGATGTCTATGAATCGGTTAATTCACGTTGCATTTCTGATACGATCATGAAACACTTTATTGAGAAACCCGCTAGGAACTACATTAAAATTGCTTTCCATAATGTTCGCAGCATTATTACAGAACCTTAGACAATAAGAAGCGAGGCGGAGGAGTTGCTTTCTATCTAAACAGTAAAGCAAAGTATAAGGTTCTTGCTAAGTCTGATGCTGGTGATGAAATTGATTACCTTTTTGTTAAATTAGTTCATTTAAAGCTTGTGTGTGGCATTGTCTACAGACCTCCAGATGTAAGGGTTTCTAAACTTAACAGTATTTTCGAACTTGCGCTGGAAATCAGTGCTACTGAATCTCATTTCATATTGATGGGCGATTTCAATATAAATTTGTGTGACACTTCTTCACCTGTTACAAACAAGTTAATCGATATGGTTAAATCGCTTTCTGTTAAAATTTTACCTCTTTTCCCCACTTGTCATAAATCAGGCTGCAGTTCATCTTTTATTGATTATGCACTTGGAAATTGTACGTTTAACGTTAGCAACATCTTTCAATCTTCTATAGGAGGTGTTAGCGATCATGATTTGATCTGCTTCGATTACAGAGTTAAGGTACCTCATCAACCTCCAGCTGTGTATTGGACAAGAGAATATCACAAGATAAACCGATAGTTTAATAGCTGACTTGCAAAGGTACAATCTTGATGCTATTTATTACTGCAACTCAGTTGATGGAAAATTACAAATTTTAAACGATATGCTTTATTTTGTCATTGATGATCATGCCCCGTTGAAAATGAAAACTACTGTTGATCCTAGTGCTCCATGGATTAATCCATACATCAAAAATCTCTTCCAAAAACGATCTGAAGCTTATGATAAATGGAAAACAGATAAACCCAGCGCAGCTAAATGGAATGCTTTTGCAAGGTTGCGAAATAGGTCAAACCGTGTAGTGAAACAATATAAGTACACTTACTTCTCTCGGCTCCTTAACCCTTCTTTTCTTCCAATAAACTTTGGGAGAATATAAAATGTTTGGGACTTTCAAAAACTCAAAGTAGAGCAGGTGGTGGTGATGTGTGTAACATCACTGCCGAATCATTGAATCAGTTCTTCATGTCAAATCAAGCTCCTATTACTTTTGATGAACAATCTGTGGCTGCTAGGTCCTCGTCATCTTCTTTTTTATTTAGGAATGTAACGAATGAAGAAGTCCTGACCGAATTCAATTCCGCGTCCAGTGATTTTATCGGCTTTGACCAGTTACCACTCAGCGTTTTGAAAAAAAACTCTTGTTGTCATTCTTCCTACCATAACGAACTTATACAATCACATTATAACAACTTCAACATTTCCACAGCTTTGGAAGATAGCACGTGTTGTACCTATTGGCAAAATTGATAATCCAATGAACAACAAGGACTACAGACCGATTAGCATCCTACCTGCTATTTCCAAAATTTTTGAAAGTCTTCTGACTAAACAATTAAACGATTATCTGTCTATGTTACTATGTCCTTTACAATCTGGTTATCGTAAACATTGCAGTACTACAACAGCTTTGATTAAAACAGAAAACGATATAAAAACTGCGCTTGACAAACGTAATCTAACAGTTCTAGTTCTTTTGGATTTTAGTAAAGCTTTCGATTCTATCAATCATAAATTGTTATGTCGGAAGCTACGTAGTTTTTTCTATCTCGATACAACTTCTGTAAACTTACTTTCCTCATATCCTACGGGACGAACGCAATATGTTGAATTTAATAATATAAAATCGGAACTTTTGAATGTAACAAGTGGTGTGCCACAAGGATCTGTTCTAGGTCCACTGTTATTTTCCATGTTCATCAATGACCTTCCAAGTATTTTAAATTATTGTGCTTACCATCTCTATGCTGATGATGTTCAGTTATACCTTTCTGGTAAAGTCGAAAATTTACAAAATATCATACGTTGTGTTAATTCGGATATTTCAAAAATTTGTGAATGGAGTGTAACAAACGGCTTACAATTAAATGCAAACAAAACTCAAGCAATCATATTTAAAAATAGATCAGTAAACATTTCAGATGCTTCTTGCATTATGATAGGTGATACCGCAATAGCATATTCAGATGTTGTTAAGAATTTGGGAATAATAATGGACTCGCATCTGAACTGGACTGCACAAGTAAACAGTGTTTCAAAAAAAGTATTTTTTGGTCTGCATTCATTAGTGCTGTTGAGAGACTGTACTCCTAAACATATTCGTTTGAAATTAGCTCAAAGTCTTCTAGTTCCGCTATTTAACTATGCTGATGTTCTATATACATCTACTTCCTCCAATAATACTCGAAAATTACAACTTGCATTTAATGCTGTTACAAGATATGTTTATAAAATTCCTCGCTTTGAACATATTGGCATCAATCACAAGGGGATTTTAGGTTGCACTTATGAAAATTACGTGAAGCTGAGAGTATGTACCCAAACTTACAAAATTCTGAATGAAGGTCCTGTTTATTTGCATAATTTTGCTCGCTCAAGAAATTTAACACTCGCTAGATGTCGTACAGAGATCTACAGATGCTCTTTTCATCAACGTGCTGCGAAATTATGTAATGAACTGCCTATGAATTGCAAACAAGCTGCCTCATATGTATACTTTAAAAATCAATGTAAACAATTATTTTCGAGACGGAACTGATCATCTCTCAGTGTAGTACGAGCTTTGAGAACACATGTGGTTATTTGTACTACGCTTAATACTTGTATTAAATAAATAAATAAATATATAAATATTATATGCGATGTTGACTTAAACTGTAGTTATTTACAATACTGTCTGTACATTGTTATACGAGTTCTGGTTATCTGGGTGAGTAGCAATATTCGGCGACTGTGTAAGGGAAACCACTTTTCCCATCACGGAAACGCCTCGTTTTCTGATTTAAAAATTACGCATTTTAGTACACAAAACGCACGGTGCTTTTGGTTTGGTTTCGGCGAAAATTGATTGGAGGAATTTCTTGCTAAAATTTTTCTAATCGCGAGGTGTTTGCGGTCTTTCATATAAATTCGAGATTTTTTTGTTTTTTTTTTTTTTGAGCATCCTGGTGAAAACCTTACGAAGTGTTTCTGGTTATTTGACATGGTCATGTGGTATTCGGTCATTGCGAGAATGTTTATGTATCACTTCAATACTTGACGCATTCCACAACAAACGTTTGGTTGCTGGGTAAATTATCAAAGAGCTTTGGGGGTGATGTGACTGGCAGCAAGGCGAGCAAACGTTCAATGAAAATTGACTCTTAAACAACAATAATTTATGGTGCTCCTGAAAAAACCCTTTTGTCGTGATGGTTGATTAATACTGAGCTATTAGGGTGTGCAACACGGATGAAGCTGGCGAGCCGTATGCTGTTTGGAACGAAGGTGACGCGCTCGGCATAGTTGGCCCACAGCGGCTCACGACGAGCAACTGAATCCGATCAGCGGTTGAGGGCAGCCTTGATAGCTAGCTGCTTGCGGGGAGCCTTTCGTTTTGTACTGGAGAACACCACCACTCACCACACGCGATGATTGACTGAAGGTTCGGTGAGACCGGATGGAATTCAATTTTGAAATCGGTGTTAGGAAAAGCTTTTTGCAGGCAATCGGCGATCATTTTAATTATCATAGCAACAGTTGCACATTCGTGCAATTTTCAATAGTGACATTTTGAAAAATGTTAAATTCTTAATTTTAACAGATTCGTAGACAAATTTCCTATTGATTTGTGTATTGCGACCGATTTTGGTTTTTAAAATTGCACCCCCAATGTTGCCTTGAAAATACATGGTATGTTAGATTTAAACACATCGGAACTGACATCCGATTGATGACCTTTATAAATGTCTAAAAAAATATTCTTTATCAAATTTAGGGTTGCCCTGAAAAGCACCGTTTTGTCGTGATGGTTGAGTTATGCTGAGCTATTAGGGTGTTCAACAGGCATGAGGCTGGTGAGCTGTATGTTGTTTTGAACGAGAGTGACGCGCTTGGCACAGCGACTCACGAATATGGATCCCGATCAGTAGCGGTGAGGCTTCTTCATCCTTTTCCGGTGAATGGACGCTCATGAGGGCTGCAGCTCGCTGCTTGCGGGCAGCTTTTTGTGATGACGACCGATCAGACACCACGATACACGGTGATTGAATAAGCACCGTTGAGGGAGACAGGATTGAATTAGATTTTGAACTTGTGGGGCTTGTGCGTTCAGAGCGACAGTAGCATCTGGTAGATGATATTTACGGGCATTGGCGTAGCTAGAAAATTTATCTGGAAGGGGCCGAAGGGGGGGCTGCTGCACTTTTTAATTTTGCAAAACTACGGGTTATTAAAAACCCACTCAAATTGCGTCCAAGGCAACTTATTTTTGGGTACATTTTTTTTCCTGTGACCAATAATATGACATTGAGGCTTACTATTATTTTAATGGTGACACAATAAATTTGATTATACTTATTCCATAACAACGATTGGTGTCTTTGAACAAGCAATGATCGTTTGTTCATGATTTTTGAAATAAAATCACAGTCCGGATCTTGTAAATGGAAGCATCTCAAACTTAAAAAAATTCTCAGGGCTAGGTAATTTCATGAATTTTGCAACTAGATTTTTTTTATTGAGCAGTCAAATCTCAGACATAGGAACCAAAATTAGATTCTAGTAGTTTGAATTTTATAATTTTATAAAATTCTGGCTGTTTCAAGGTAAAGTGCACACAGAATAAAATTTAATACATATAGGACGTAGGAAAATGTTCAAGATGCACACTTTTTCCACGTAGGACTACGTCGGTGATTTCTATATGGGGGGTACACTTTGTGAAAACTGAAAAT